GGTGTGGGGGCTGCAGTAACTGGGTCCATGCAATTCCCAAGGAATAATTCCTGCTTTTCTGGGAACAGGGAATGCCACTCACTCACCTTAATGCAGCCAACTATTGTAGTTGTAAGAGCAGAGTTATACTGAGTGCAAAGAACCGTGGAATACATCAAAATAAACCTGTGGGGAAGAGCCAACGTCAGGAAAAGGCCTCGGGAATCACCTCCTTCTGGTCATGAAAGGGGAACGAGGTCAGTTTAAGGTGYCTCCCACCCCAAACCACTCCAGGATTCCATCATCCATTCCCATCCTTTCTCCAGCAGGATTTATCCCACTTTTTTTGGCTAAGCCCGTACTGAAGGAAGGTGGGAGAGAATTCCCAACTCTCAGGAGGGCGTCCCTATCAGCACTGAGGATTTATTATCATTTTTTAATARTAATGGATTTATTATMATTTTTTAATAACAATAAGGCACCAAAAATCCCAACTAATGGAATGGAGATGCCTGYCCCRCTCCCATCCCAATCCTTACCCCATCACACACGACAGCGCAAACTGCACCACGAAGAAGGTGTCAGCCCAGCCCTGGTACTCCATTGCCTGCAGGGAACAAAACCAGAGCCTTGAGAGGCACAGAATTCCCAGCCAGACACGAATCAACCCTCCAGGTTTAGCTTTCCCATCACAGCAGGAAAAATCAACCCAGTTCCGAGGTTGGAGTGACCTCGCTGGGCTGTGGGAAGGTCCCCATGGGCATCAGCTCCAGCTTTGGCCCTGGGCTCATCCCTCCTGGGAAATGTAGGGAGGGATGGAAGGGTTGGGATTGGGACAGCTCCAAACTCAGCCCTGGGCTCATCCCTCCTGGGAAATGTAGGGAGGGACAGAGGGGTTGGGATTGGGACAGGCAGCTCCCAGCTGGATCCTCTCCAGAACAGGATCCTTTGGAATTGATTCATCACAAACCATGACACTCAGACCATCCCAAGGGAGCTGGCAGAGCAGCTCAAAGCAGCCTGGATTTCAGGAAAGGATTTTTTCCTTGGTTTTGGGGTTTTGGGGCTCCCAGTGCCACAGACAGGGAGAGCCCAGAGGGATCACCAGGATCCTGAAGGGAAAATCTCCCTAGGGAGAGGCTGGGAGAGCTCAGGGATCTCCTGAGCAGAGCAGGGAGAAGCCTTTAGGGGAAAAAAAACCCAAAAAACCCCAAAGCAGGGAGCCAAGGGGATAGAACCTGGTTCTTCCTGAGGTGTCTGGACATGAACACACGGGAAGGTCCCTCTGGATGTCTGCAGACACCAGGAGAGGTTTGCCCTGGAAAATGGGGGAGTCTCCATCCTTGGAGAATCCAGCTGGAATCCTGAGCTGCTCCAGAGGGACTGAGCTGCTCCGGAGAGATCAGGGAGCTCCAGAGGGATCAAGGCAGCTCCAAAGGAACCAGGAGAGCTCCAGAGGGATTGGGGGAGCTCCAGAGGGATTGGGGGAGATCCAGAGGGACTCCAGAGGGCCCTGCCAGCCTCAGCCAGGAGGAAGAGCAGGGTAGGGCCAGAGCTGCTTCCCTCTCACCCTCCCTCCCTCTCTCCCTCCCTTCAGAGCTGGGCAGGAGCTGCCAAAGCTCCYGGAGAACTGGGAAAGCTGGGAATGCTCTCCCCACAGGGACACGGAGCCTCGCAGGGCCCTTCCTGCAGCTCAGCCACCCCCTGTCCCGCAGAATTCCCGGCAGCAGCACCTCTGACAGAGCAGGACGTGTTCCTGGGGATGATTCCCGAGGAACCACAGGAATTCTGAGCCCCCCCAGCCTCTCCTGGAGCTGCCAAGGCGCAGTTTCCTGGCAGCAGCCCCGGCACACAGCGCATCTTTGTGCAGCCCGGCAGAAAGGAGTTTATTCAGGGGAAAAGAAAATAAAAAAAAAAGGCCATTTCTGCCCCAGGGCTGAACAGAGGCTGCTCACAGCAACACTGCCCTGCTCAGCCCCAGCTCCTGCTCCTAAATGAGCACTTTATCCCAAACCCACCCTCGGCTGAGCCACCTTCACCCCCTGCCATCCCTGCTAATCCCAGCTCATTATCCCACAGCTTTAAGCTCCTCCTAACGAGGACAAAACCACACAGAGGGGG